TAATCCAACACCACCAACCTATTCACTGTATTCTCTGCTTGCAATCGACAACATAACATCAGAGGCAGTACACAAACGTCCGGGATCGGGTTGAGTCAGACCAGGTTTGTGATTGCAGACATCTAAAATCTTTGATGCTCAATTAGTCCATTTCCACCCTGACAGAAGTAATATCTGTTCTTGATCTCTATAGGGGTTTTGCGCGAGATGTATTGTTCAGTTTCACATTACTCTCGTTTTGAACAGTCGTCCTCCTGTCCTGGCGCAATTATTCATGTGAATCCACACGCGAGGGGGGAAGCACTTGACTCGAGTTCCGCTCTTGTTAGAGCTCATCAGTAGTGCATACCCGATGGCCGCCCCGGGGTTTGAAGTCCGGAAACCTGGCATGCGAGGCGAACACGTTACCACTATTCCACTAGCGCACGTTTGACGCGTCTGAATTCTCACGTCTGAACGGGTGAACTTGTTCGAACTTGAGCGATGTGATTAGTTTGATATATAAAGTTTACGGCAAATGTGTAGTGAAGTGTCCCAACAATCTGAGAACTATTGGGTGAGTTCTACAGACGTAATAATCCGTAGCACGGTAACCAGGCGCTTTACTCGAATGAGTCCCCCCTCCACTATTCGTCAAGGTAACATAATGAACTTTCCACGGATTATCTACGCAATACTTACCTTGAAATTTAGGCGATAAGAGTAGCCGTATCGATGACCTTGTAACAAGTCCACCAACTCCGAAAATAGAAGGCAGTTCAACCACCCAATCAAGTGGAACGAATTCAGACCACAATGCATGAAGGAAACGGCCTGATCACAGCGAAGGAACAGAACTTTTGAACTGGAGCCAAATGAACCAACCAGATGCAAGATAATGATATCACGACGCGACTTAGATTCCAACCAACCAAATTACGCGGAGACCACATTGAAACCAAACACTCACTTCAGAGTTATTAGGTACAGTTGAGAAGCTACGTAGGCACAGGTGGACAGGAGGGAATTACCCAAAAAACCTCGCGCTGCGATGTCATCCAGATTGTCAATGAAACGTCTTCAATCCAAGTGCCAAGCTCGGTGAACAGTGTCGCACACAAACTCGTCGGAGCAAACAGCATTTTCACCCAGTGAGCCGTAGAAATCGACGTATAAGTCACCCGACCACTGCTTCGATGCTTTATTATTTCCGAGCTGCATGGCATATGCATGACAGCATGTTTCTTGTCAACTTAAGTGAAGAATATGGCTTTATCGGGTTGCCAGTAATTTCGGAATTCAACACAATCAGCCATGTTCACTTGTTTCGGTGCGACCTTCCGGAGGCGTTCGGCATGCGCTGGCAGTGTTCGTGGCGTCTGCAACACGTGACATATGTCCGGAATTCTTAGCTCAACATGANCAATACTTACCTTGAAATTTAGGCGATAAGAGTAGCTGTATCGATGACCTTGTAACAGGTTCACCAAATCCGAAAATAGAAGGCTGATCAACCATCAATTCAAGTGGAACGAATTCGGACCACAATGCATGAAGGAAACGGCTTGATCACAGCGAAGGAACAGAACTTTTGAACCGGAGCCAAATGAACCAACCAGATGCAAGATAATGATATCACGACGCGACTTAGATTCCAACCAACCAAATTACGCGGAGACCACCTTGAAACCAAATACTTACTTCAGAGTTATTAGGTACAGTTGAGAAGCTACGTAAGCACAGGCGGACAGGAGGGAATTGCCCAATAAACATCGCGCTGACGATGTCACCCAGATTGTCAATGAAACGTCTTCAATCCAAGTGCCAAGCTCGGTGGACAGTGTCGTACACAAACTCGTCAGAGCAAACAGCATTTTCACCCGGTGAGCCGTAGAAATCGACGTATAAGTCACCCGACCACTGATTCGATGCTTTATTGTTTCCGAGCTGCATGGCATATGCATGCCAGCATGTTTCGTGTCAACTTCAGTGAAGAATATGGTTTTATCGGGTTGCCAGTAATTTCGGAATTCAACAGAATCAGCCATGTTCACTTGTTACGGTGCGACCATCCGGGGGCGTTCGGCGTGCGCTGGCAGTGTTCGTGGCGTCTGAAACACGTGACATATGTCCGGAATTCTTAGCTCAACATGAACAGGGACGACTACTGTCTATGAGCTCTGTTCACTGTCGACNGTTCCCGACAGAACAGTATTTCTCCACAATAAAAAAATAAAAAAACGTCTGTCACCCCCATTTTTCCGAAGAATTTATTTAATAAATTATTTTATCAATGTAACAAGTGTTTTTTCTCTCACACGAGCTGGCTGTAACCTTGAGAACTGATCCACAGGCAAAAGTACACTCGTTCAACTAACCCGTTCAACAGATCTTCAAAATAAATGCGTCTTAGTCTATCCACGGGGGCTTTGACGTCACAAACACTTCCGTTTTGGTTTTGTTCGAGTTGAAAATCAGGGGAGGTTTTTTGTGCATGTCTGGTCAACTGAGCGTTCGATTGCACCGCTAAATCTCGTGACTGCCAACAAGGAAATATTTATTTCAGTTGCTGACCGTATAAGGTTTACACACTCATTTTGAAAACGGACCTTTTGCGTTTGCAAGTTCAAAGTGGCGACAAATCTCCATGGCTGTTTCAAAATGGATTATCAAAATGTCATGTGAAATTTTCGGTTTCTTGAAACGTTTCTATAACTCGTCTTGTCTGCAACTTATTTCATACACACGTCTGCCCCTTATGATGGAAAAAAAACACGGAAAAATCTGCTCAAATTGGTATTTTAAAAAGAATAAAAAATCATGCGTCCTGGGGACCATCGTTTTATGGCATTGACTAACATCATAATCAATTTTTCAGGAACCAAAATTTCCGCAGACAACTCAGCAACCATCCAAATCAAACACGATAAACAATGTGAATGTATAAACGTAATATACTACTCATAAGGTTGCTGAAAATCCACCGACATTCCACGACCGGTTCCGTCCTTCCAATTTGGGCTCATCAGGTGGGCGCAGTTCCTAAGCTCCCGGAATGCACGAAATTTCCGAAATACACACATTTTCTGGGGGGAGCCTCAACTAGAACCTAGCTGAATCTCTCGTTTGTGATGCTTGAAGAGGAAAAACCGAAGAATTCCGCATGACGCCAAAGTTTAATACGTCAATATCCCAAGAAAAATATGTTCCCATTGGGAAACAATATAGATGTTAACGGAAGACTCAAGTAAATCCCTCGTTTCTGAAAGTCTCCAATCAAACGTGTCTCATAAAAGTCCGTTTCATGCTTCAGTTGACACGATAATAGGCATATTGCAGCATACTTTCTCGAAACGAGCGCAATCTGTAATTGAGCGTATGTCATCAGTTGTACACACGTTGGTATAGAACATGAGATTGATGGAAACTTGTGTACCACGCCTACCTGACGAGCCCGAAGTGGGGAAACCATATAAGTGGTGTTTTTTCATAAAGGAAACTACTCAAAAGGTTGCTGAAAACTCATCGAGAACTCTTCAGCAAACTTGTGAGTGGTTTTCTTTATGAAAATATACTGCAATATCTCGAGTATCGCGTCAAATGAAACATGAGGAGGCCTTTGTGCAGCACATTTATTTGAAGAGCATCATAAACAAGAGAGTCAAATGAGTGTATTTCTCGAAAAGGCAACTGGTGCTTTCCGTCCTCAGTTAGAAGATCTAGTCCCTCGACTTGGAGAAACTTTTTGTCAAAAGCAAAACATCATCCAGCAATGAAAACCATTTATTGGTTTTTCTTCGTCGTTCTTATAACGAGTGAACATTTTAGCGTTATTCTGTTCAGACAAGTAACACTGAGTTTGTAGTTTTCAGATAAAGGCAGGGCAGAAGCCAAAATTTGATCTTCAGTTGACTTGTATGATGATGTCAAGGGGGCGACGTATAACTGACTGTTGCTGACCGTTTCACGCTTTCTTTTGACCAAACGATGATCTGAAAACCGGTGTCTTTGAAAGGAATTTGAAGGACAGCAGTTTTGACATCTGAGGAAAAGTTTGCGTTTGTACGCTCATTCTATTTGACCAACTCCAAAGTGGATCGCAAAAGAAAGCGACACATATTGTACACGTCTTTGAATAAGAAGCAGCCCTGACAGCGGATCCGATTATGCGTTGCATGGATAGCAAAACCAATGGATTATCCTGTTTGACCTGATCCAGAAATCGCCGTTGGAATTTCGGCAGCTAAGGACAAAATACCCGCTGGTTGCGTAAGGAAACAATGCTGGCGGGTGCTACAATAGTAAGTAAGTAGTAAGTAAGTAAGTAAGTAAGTAAGTAAGTAAGTAAGTAAGTAAGTAAGTAAGTAAGTAAGTAAGTAAGTAAGTAAGTAAAGTAGTAAGTAAGTAAGTAAGTAAGTAAGTAAGTAAGTAAGTAAGTAAGTAAGTAAGTAAGTAAGTAAGTAAGTAAGTAAGTAAGTAAGTAAGTAAGTAAGTAAGTAAGTAAGTAAGTAAGTAAGTAAGTAAGTAAGTAAGTAAGTAAGTAAGTAAGTAAGTAAGTAAGTAAGTAAGTAAGTAAGTAAGTAAGTAAGTAAGTAAGTAAGTAAGTAAGTAAGTAAGTAAGTAAGTAAGTAAGTAAGTAAGTAAGTAAGTAAGTAAGTAAGTAAGTAAGTAAGTAAGTAAGTAAGTAAGTAAGTAAGTAAGTAAGTAAGTAAGTAAGTAAGTAAGTAAGTAAGTAAGTAAGTAAGTAAGTAAGTAAGTAAGTAAGTAAGTAAGTAAGTAAGTAAGTAAGTAAGTAAGTAAGTAAGTAAGTAAGTAAGTAAGTAAGTAAGTAAGTAAGTAAGTAAGTAAGTAAGTAAGTAAGTAAGTAAGTAAGTAAGTAAGTAAGTAAGTAAGTAAGTAAGTAAGTAAGTAAGTAAGTAAGTAAGTAAGTAAGTAAGTAAGTAAGTAAGTAAGTAAGTAAGTAAGTAAGTAAGTAAGTAAGTAAGTAAGTAAGTAAGTAAGTAAGTAAGTAAGTAAGTAAGTAAGTAAGTAAGTAAGTAAGTAAGTAAGTAAGTAAGTAAGTAAGTAAGTAAGTAAGTAAGTAAGTAAGTAAGTAAGTAAGTAAGTAAGTAAGTAAGTAAGTAAGTAAGTAAGTAAGTAAGTAAGTAAGTAAGTAAGTAAGTAAGTAAGTAAGTAAGTAAGTAAGTAAGTAAGTAAGTAAGTAAGTAAGTAAGTAAGTAAGTAAGTAAGTAAGTAAGTAAGTAAGTAAGTAAGTAAGTAAGTAAGTAAGTAAGTAAGTAAGTAAGTAAGTAAGTAAGTAAGTAAGTAAGTAAGTAAGTAAGTAAGTAAGTAAGTAAGTAAGTAAGTAAGTAAGTAAGTAAGTAAGTAAGTAAGTAAGTAAGTAAGTAAGTAAGTAAGTAAGTAAGTAAGTAAGTAAGTAAGTAAGTAAGTAAGTAAGTAAGTAAGTAAGTAAGTAAGTAAGTAAGTAAGTAAGTAAGTAAGTAAGTAAGTAAGTAAGTAAGTAAGTAAGTAAGTAAGTAAGTAAGTAAGTAAGTAAGTAAGTAAGTAAGTAAGTAAGTAAGTAAGTAAGTAAGTAAGTAAGTAAGTAAGTAAGTAAGTAAGTAAGTAAGTAAGTAAGTAAGTAAGTAAGTAAGTAAGTAAGTAAGTAAGTAAGTAAGTAAGTAAGTAAGTAAGTAAGTAAGTAAGTAAGTAAGTAAGTAAGTAAGTAAGTAAGTAAGTAAGTAAGTAAGTAAGTAAGTAAGTAAGTAAGTAAGTAAGTAAGTAAGTAAGTAAGTAAGTAAGTAAGTAAGTAAGTAAGTAAGTAAGTAAGTAAGTAAGTAAGTAAGTAAGTAAGTAAGTAAGTAAGTAAGTAAGTAAGTAAGTAAGTAAGTAAGTAAGTAAGTAAGTAAGTAAGTAAGTAAGTAAGTAAGTAAGTAAGTAAGTAAGTAAGTAAGTAAGTAAGTAAGTAAGTAAGTAAGTAAGTAAGTAAGTAAGTAAGTAAGTAAGTAAGTAAGTAAGTAAGTAAGTAAGTAAGTAAGTAAGTAAGTAAGTAAGTAAGTAAGTAAGTAAGTAAGTAAGTAAGTAAGTAAGTAAGTAAGTAAGTAAGTAAGTAAGTAAGTAAGTAAGTAAGTAAGTAAGTAAGTAAGTAAGTAAGTAAGTAAGTAAGTAAGTAAGTAAGTAAGTAAGTAAGTAAGTAAGTAAGTAAGTAAGTAAGTAAGTAAGTAAGTAAGTAAGTAAGTAAGTAAGTAAGTAAGTAAGTAAGTAAGTAAGTAAGTAAGTAAGTAAGTAAGTAAGTAAGTAAGTAAGTAAGTAAGTAAGTAAGTAAGTAAGTAAGTAAGTAAGTAAGTAAGTAAGTAAGTAAGTAAGTAAGTAAGTAAGTAAGTAAGTAAGTAAGTAAGTAAGTAAGTAAGTAAGTAAGTAAGTAAGTAAGTAAGTAAGTAAGTAAGTAAGTAAGTAAGTAAGTAAGTAAGTAAGTAAGTAAGTAAGTAAGTAAGTAAGTAAGTAAGTAAGTAAGTAAGTAAGTAAGTAAGTAAGTAAGTAAGTAAGTAAGTAAGTAAGTAAGTAAGTAAGTAAGTAAGTAAGTAAGTAAGTAAGTAAGTAAGTAAGTAAGTAAGTAAGTAAGTAAGTAAGTAAGTAAGTAAGTAAGTAAGTAAGTAAGTAAGTAAGTAAGTAAGTAAGTAAGTAAGTAAGTAAGTAAGTAAGTAAGTAAGTAAGTAAGTAAGTAAGTAAGTAAGTAAGTAAGTAAGTAAGTAAGTAAGTAAGTAAGTAAGTAAGTAAGTAAGTAAGTAAGTAAGTAAGTAAGTAAGTAACGAGTACGCGGTCATTACAGCTGGAACCGTTCTTGGAAAGTAAGTCAGTAAGTAAGTATGTAAATAAGTAAATAAGTAGGTAAGTATGTGAGTAAGTAAGTAGGTAAGTACATAAGTAAAGTAATTAGTTGATTAATTAAGTAAAGTAAGTAAGTAAGTAAGTAAAACTTTCTCCTACTTTCATATGGAAACTCTGCCGGAACATCTTACCCTTTTGGAAAGAGACTAGGTACCCGCAAGTAACTCATCTGGTGTTGGGACAGTAAAAAAACAGAATCCAGTTTGCCCAAATTAAATCTTGCTTTGTTCATACTGCAGGTGAAAAGGTTCTTCACCTTTCACACTTTTTTTAGAAAATGTGCCTAGTTCCTCTTTAGTTCTGTGGAATGAGACGGCAACTCGGACACCGAATACCGCTCAATCGACCCATGACTCAAATGTGTTCATATAGGTATGTGTATTCGTGTGGTTATTCTCAGTTGTGCCTTTACGTAGTATCACGTATTTGGCAATATTTACCGGTATGTTGTTCGAGAAAAAACGCCAGTATGTTCATGTTTCTTACAACTAACACGCACGCACTGGGACGGGTTTGGCTGATATCTGATTGGTGCGACCAGATGGCGCGTCAGGTGTTGGGTTCACGCACTGTGTGTGCGTGACCATTATATAACTAGTCCTTTGTCATTGGTCACCAAAAAAATCATCTATCCACCTGTGTAGCTGCAACTCAGTGTGCATTGTACCTCATTCCTCATAGTTGGTGTCATTTCCCTCGGGCAACCCACCAATGGGATTTTACCAAACAATGTGTGCAATCCAAGTTATTGACCCGACAACTCATTGCCCGTGTGAGGGACGAAGAGAGTTGAGTGTTTTGCTCCCACCAGTTGACTCGAATGCATAATAGAACTCACACGGCTCTATCTACGGCCTCGTCATGTCACACTCAACCTGGATCTGTGAAATCCGAAAACCAGCAGTCCAACAAACTTCATCACCCGCAACAACAGGTATTATCTCAGCCAACCGGTCACAGTGCTGTCCAATTACGGTCTTTTCGTGCTCGACCCCGAATGGTGGCTCGATCTTCAGTGAATAGTAAGCGTTTGACAGGTAACAACAGTCTATCCCCCGTCTCGTCTCAGTCGGATTCACCCAAGTTAAGCCCGTCCACAATGCCACGACCAAACAAGTACCCTGCACATCCACGCGGAGGAGGTGGAGGGCAGGTGTTGGGGTTTCGGCCCAGCTCAACATCTGGAGCAACCGATCGGTCCTCTTCGGGTGGCCAATTACAAGGCTACACCTGTTCCATGTATCCGGACAATTTGGGCACATCCATGGATGATAGTTCACACCTGTTGAACATTGATGATTTGTTGCTCAGGCGAAATCGAGCCCCGAGTAAAATATCGACAAGAGACCGGAACAGTCGGGATACTCAGTACCGTACTCCACCCTCAACCATTCCCACCACACCTATTATTGCATACCAGGAAAATGCGATCCAATCCGACATGGATTTAGTGAGATTAAAAGACGACAAGAAATCTGAAGATGAGTTGTCTCAAATGAAACATTTGGAACCGGTTAGACATCCACCGGTGAGTTTCTGCTCAGTCTGTGTTGTGTGTTGCCTCCGCAATTACTCATTTGTTCACGTGACACGTAAAATAATGGCAGAAGTGGGGTGGGATTTACTGTGGGCGCAAACGAGCCTATTTTTGTCTCCATCGTTTTACGGGAGTTAGTTATGTTTCATGCGTGTTAGTGCGCTTTCTTGGGAGGTTTAAAGAAGACTTATCCACAAACCTCAATAGGAGGATAGAAGACACCCAATGTGATCGTTTTTGGGTGTATGAAACCCAACCAGAGCGATGCAATAGGTGGAAAAATTGTTTTTCCCTGCTTTACTACCATGAAAAAATTACTCGGCGGGATCTCAGGGTGAATATTTTGATAGAATTCTTTCTATATCGAAAATTTATTTCCCTTCATTTTGACCGGTAATAACCAGGCACGAAAGATAATTCACTATGGTTGGTAAAACAGTGTTCTAACAGTGCTAACTTTAACTGTGTCCTGTCAGAAGAATTCTTTGCTACTTTGTCCTGGAATAAAACTGTTCACGAGGTTGTTGAAAATTTATTGACAGCCCACGACCGGTCCTGCCCTTTTTGGTGCTCACAAAGTTGATGCAGTCCCCGAGTTTCCGTTAGCCAAACGCTCTTCTTGAACCCAAACTGGGTCGAATTCGCTAAATAGTTTGGTTTTAACGATGGACTCAACCGAACTACTCGTTTTTGATATAAGGGAAGTACGTCTATCTGCTGAGAAGGGCGAAACCGGTAGTGGACTGTCGGAGAGTTCTCAGCAGCCTTAGGAATAATATCGCTTCAAGGAAGCGTACTAGGATGTCTCCGAAATGGTATCAAATCATGAGTCGGCCCTTGTGGATCATATTTTCCGGAAGAATTTGAAAAACATGAATCTCAGCTGAGATTCAGGTGACTTTCCTGTGAAGACTAAGTGGTATTCAAACGCGTGAGTTTGGCGACCTTCTGCCATTACTTACCAGGATGGCACCCACCAATATTGGTTCCCTCAGCTGAATGTGTCCTCCCAAGTTCTCCAGTCATACAAATCAAGCTCACGGCTATTACAAATCGTGGGTTCTGGATGTGTTTCATTGGCACTGTGATTTTTCCAGAACTGTTTATCACGAATTACCAAACTGTAATCCGTCCCTTCATTATAATTGATGCAGTTAAACAAGCTTCAGTTCACTAGTGTCTAGGTTTCCGTTTTTTGACTTTGAACCAACACGATTTTCAGTTGACACAAATAAATAGTTGTGTCAATCAACGATTGGAATTATTTCCGTCCTATCACTACTTTAGTTACCTCCAAACAAGGCTAAAGTTCCGTATCTGGGGGGATAAATTATACTTTGCGCATGAAACCAAACTTTTGGCGGGATCTGATGATCCATACAAATGCTTTAAGAATAAAGGACTATTTTGAAGTTGAACGAAGTTCCATTATTCAAGGCTCAAATGTGGAAGGGAGGATATCGTCCCTCTCGATAATTTTCACAACAGGCAAAACCTTGTTACTTTGTTTTGTCGGAGGGGATGATCCTTAGACTTCACTACCGATTCTGACAGCTTGTTTCAAAAGAATTTTTAACGAATTTATGCCTTCTCTGAGTTTAGTTTTGAAGCGGTTTCAATCAGAAAAACTGTTAGCCACATTTATTTCTGCTTCCGAAGTTTCTAGGATAGCCGACTGTCTGAGAGAGCCGTTTTGCTTCTGAGGGGCTCATTGACGCACAATTCTTTGTTGCCATTTTGCGAGTTGATGAAATGTTGAACAAAAACCTCGGTTGTCCAAGCCTAGACAGGGGAAGTCGAGAGGCAGACGTCGGGTTCGTAACACCGACTTTCCGGTCAGTAAATTCGCGCCCTAACCACTGAGCCACCTCGCCATCTCCCCACAAGAAATCTTCTGAAGTATGCTTTTAGCACAGAACTTACTAAGTAATATGAAAGTTCGTTTCCTTTCAGTTCAATTTGGTCTGTGGGGTTGAATCGGTCATATACCCCCTGATTTTTTAAAGGTGTGCCAGATTTAGAGTGGTATACACACAGATTGTACAACATCCACAGTTACCGACGTCTAATCGGTAAGCATTCAACAGGTTTTGAGCATCCGTGGCAATACCTAACTGGTACATCCAGAAAGGGATCTTCGTTCAAGGCGAACAGGTCAGATAGCTCACGTGTTCAATCAATTCATCCTCGACAACTCAGGGTTCATCGCCACAGTAGTGGTATCACCCTCAGTTCGCATTCCTGATGTACGGGGTTTAATTGTTCAGACGTCCCGCACCAGAAATAACAGCCTAGCTCATGTATAGCGAATATCGTATCATCCGAATCATGAGGCGTAAGACTGGTGTAACACTGTCCGTGAAAGCGGATCATCATAAATTGAGACATTCAACTGGATTCAGTTGAATCTCCTGTCAAAACAAAATACGCGTGCAAATGTGTCGTAATCTGTCCAATTCGGGTCCAAGTAAAGCGTAAGGTTGACAGGAACTGGGAGATTCCGCTAACATAATGGGTCCCAAGAAGGGTGAAACCGGTAGTGAACTGCCGAAGTGTTTTCAGTAACCTTGAGTTTGATGTGTGATGTCTTGTTAAGGTAATACCAGTCGGTCAGGACCACCTGAAAGCTAGACAAAGGTGAATAGCAAACTCTGGTCTCTAGTATGCCCAGAAGTGTGTACGAACCACATTCATAGAATCCATCGTATCGATTGCTCCAGTTAGGTTACAACACTCAAGGTCTTTCGTGGCAATACAGGCCTGAGTGTGAACACGTTCTAATACCTGACAGCAATATGTAACATTGGACAAGTATTCTGAATACAGGAAAAAGCCTGAGCTGGTCACTCTTAGCTGAAAGTTTGAAAAATGTAACAAACAGCGAATTTATCGATTACCCACAGAATTTATTGATTATGGTAAACGAAAACGATTCGGATCCGTACAAACACTATTTCCAACTTGAAACTCATTGATTTTAATGCGGCTTACTTGCTTGCCGTAACATTTGAATTCCTGAAAGCCACCAATATGATCGGAATGAGAGAAGTAGTCACTATGGGGTCAATATTTGAGGTAAAGCAGGACCTACATAATCTGTGAAAAAAATTGAAGGATCTTCCCTATCGTGGGAGATTTTACTTTAATCTAATGGACTAGGAAAGAGCGCTTGTCAACCCTCGGAATGTTTTTGAACGTGTTCTTCCTCACCAGTTGGTGACTAAGGGCACGCCATTAGTGTTTTGATCTTGTTTTCACTAGAATTTTACCGAGGACCCTGCACATCCTGGTTGTGTTTCGATGATAGTTGATTTGGGATCGCTTGGCCAAATTCGAAAGAAACGGGTGGATGTTCGGAATTCCGGGTATTCATCTTGATATTTGCATTGATTGCTTCCATGTTCCGGGAATGCAGTATGATTAATCGATATGTGAATATCCAGTGATACATTTCCATGAATTTTTATACCAGCCGTTTTTTACGGGAAATGGATTGTCTCACAGTAGTTGGTAAACAAACACAGCAAAACAGACTGCTTACTTTTAAGGGGTGCAACCTATGGATGTTTTTCTGTATCGATCATTTTCCGCCTATTGAAATTTGGTGTCTAGCTGCCTCGTTGCCCGATGAAAGAATGAGGGCTGTGACACTCCCAGTCTGTGCAAGTGTAGATGGGAGCAGTAAAGATTCCGGAGCCGGGTTCGAACCACGGACCTTCGGGTCGGTGTGTTCGCGCACCGAGCACCAGGTTATCTCAGGTCGTTTTTTGAATAGTTCTAATAATCCCGTTTTTGGAGTAGGACCACCCAAATCACCTGATTGAACTTCTTGATTTCAGCTAATTTGTTTTTTGGCACTTTACACAGGTAGATGATTTCATTTCTGCTCCCTTTTGTTACTCCATAGTGTTCCGCTTGCAAACATTAGGGTTGAAAGCGGCTGTGGAAAGTTCACTTACCGGGATATCTGCTTTAACTCCGTAAATTCCACTTCCTTTCTTTTTAAGGAAGAACTGTATAAGACATTAAGTGGTTAGCGCCCCTACTAAGAATTTGGTGAACTACATAATGCCTGTATCGCAAGTCCACTGCTCATCATCACCATCATCATTGTCAGCTGTAATAACCGCGTATTCGTCCTTCAGTGGTTGTAGTTGCCGCAGTTTCGTTCACCGATGATTCGGGGGAGTGGGGTAGGTAGCTACCCATTGCAGGAGCTGTTAAATTGGTGCATGAATCCAGCACCGTCAGTGGGCTGTCAAGTAGGGTGGGGGGTTGGAAAAGGAGCTATGCATTGAAGGCAATAGCTCGGATGCACGAGCGCCATTGAGGGCGCGACTGGGCCATATCTGACAATGTCTCTAGCCATTGATGTGGCCTGTCTCGGGGTCCCCATCCAGGAAGACGGCAGTTACCAGCGCAGCTGAGTTTGCTGGTAATGGCTTTCATACTTCGCTGCCAAGTCATTGTTTGACCGTATGTGGCTCTCTTCCACCATTCACGTGGTTGTGCGAAAAGAGCCCTTCGAAGAAGACGGTCGACTGGCATACGCAGCACGGGGCCAAGCCAGCGCAACCTATGCAGTTCATATATCGAGGCGAATCATTTCTCCCGAATACCATATGACGTATTTCAGAATTGCTGATCCGGTGTTCCCACCAGATTCGGGCAATATGGAGCGCACCGCAGCATTGTAAACTGGACCCTTGACAGAGAAGCTGATGTCGCGCCTACGCCACAGGTGACGTAGGTTCGCAAAAGCTGTTCTGGCCTTCCCAATCCGGGTGGAAATGTCATCTTTCGTGAGACCACCGGGACCGATAAAGCTGCCCAGGTAAACAAATTTGTCCACTACCTCAATCGGTTCATCCGCAAGCATGAGGCTAGGGTTCGAGCCCACCCAGTTTTGCAGTAGCACTTTACACTTTGCAGGTGTGAAGTGCATGCCGAACCGCGAGGCAGAATTATTTAGGTTATTTAATATTGTTTGC